CAGCTACCACCAACCGCATCGTCGAAACCCATGTTGACCCTACAAAAGCGCTGGGATGGCCAACACCTACGTCTGTGACCATGCCCACGGCTTCTTTGTGGGTAGCAAGTTGCAGTTCTGGAGCCACACATTCCCGATCTGAAAACACGAGTGTATACACACCATTTATATATGCACACACATGCAAAATACATATACACATATCTATATGTCTAGAATATGTCTCTCTCTATACATATGTGTGTATACACATACATACATACATACATACATACATACATACATACACACACACATACACACATACACACATACAGACAGACAGATAGACAGACAGACAGACAGACAAACAGACAGGCATACAGACATACCCTTGCTACAACCTTTGACCGTCCCTCTCCGACTCTGTCTGCTCACACATAAAGCGACGCAGAAAGAGACCTCTGCACACGCGCACACACACACGCACACGCATGATATGTACATCAACTGACGTGAACCTGAGTGTCCGTGAGACGATGCTAACTAAAGCTGTCTCGCCTTCGGCAGATACCACTGTCTCCAGCAAGCGCCGCACGCGCTGGCGGCCCTGCTCCTGCTCAGCTACCACCTCGGTGAGAAGAAACATGACAAGTGTTTCCACACCTCCTTTGCGTGTTACTATATAAGTACTATATAAGTCAGTAAGTATGGCCGCATACCTTCATTACGTGTTTGCTGCTGATGCCCTGCCTGGAGTATCCCGATGGGTTAGCACAGTCAGAGAGACAACCCTCGGCTCCTTGAAAGATCTATACAAGACGCTGACCCTGCTAAAAGATAGTCACCTGCAGCTGGCATTAGCAGTGAGAAAAGCTGCGTGCCAGAATCAGAATCTTTCGCCCCAACCGTGTATTCGAACCTGTGCCCCAAACCCTCTACTCTGCACTGGCATAAACGGCATGAATCAAGAAACACCTCCATCCGGCCTCTTGGAAGCTGGCCCCGTAGCGCTCTGCAGCAACTTCTAAAGCCTTGTGAAGCTCCGGTTCGGCGCGGGCCATGAGGCTGCAAAAGGCCTGCTAGGGCTGCGATGTGGCTGCAGGGGCTTACCTGGAACTTCATGAATGAAGACGCAATAACGACACTGAACAAACAAAAACTACAAACTGGTGCGTGGGGCAATGCGTCTACGCCAGGGAATTTCAGGGCTTTTTGCTTGCCCACATTGCAACCTAATTCGCAGTACGGCCTGTTTTGGTTGCCCTGGATCAGGACTTCTTCCGCCACGACAATTCATGTTCAAGACTCCTACATGCATGCGTCCTCCCACGAATAATGCGCAGCCACCTGTCTTTTCAAACAAATCTTGACAAAGCCGATGGATGAGCCCAGAACCCCTGAACATGCCCGCAAGAAAACCAAGTCCTCGCCTCTCCCTTCATGACCAGCAGAGTGACATCACCTGAGATCTGCCGCAAACCTTGCATTTGCCTGGTACCAAGTCTTGACCATGCCATGCATGCAACCATGTGGTCTGCACCAGCGCTTACACGAAGAGGGTGGTAGTGATAGTGCTTGACAAGCCGCTTGCGGCTTTGACTGTGACCGGGCTCGGCACGCCAAGCACCAAGGAGGCCTGCCCGAGGTGGCTGTAGAAATAGCTGCAACGACCGTGGCAACGATGTACTGGCACTGTGGGAAACAAATATCCAAAGCATGTAGCAATGTAGCGTTGATGGAATATGTTCGCAAACACACAGGGAAGTTCGCCACGACAACATCATAACAGGGCACCACTACTACAAGCATGACCACTTCCTCCACCACCACAACCACTGCCTCGCTAGTATGACTACTGCCACTGCTACGACGACGACGACCACTCACTACTCCTGCTGCTGCTGCAAACTCCTACTCCCTTCTATTCCTGCCCTACTCCTGGTCCTATTCCTACTCTTACTCCTACTCCTACTGCCGCTGCTACTATTGCTACCGCCACCACCACTGCTACTACTGCTACTACTACTACTCCTCCTACTCC